GCTTGAAATGTTGTCATATTGTTTTATACATGCAATTATTAAAAAATATATTTTCTTGGTTCTTTCGGTAAAGAACGAAGAATATTAATCCCTGCAGTCATGAAAGCTTTACATCTAAATATTAAAAAATGCTTTATTATTTCCAGTAATTTTTTTGTCTAAATTGTACCGTTCCTTGGTAGTGATAAGTGCACTGCCCCATATTTCAGATTAAGCCACCCCTGAAAGATGACTTGTCCAAATACTTTCACTTCGATAGGCTTCTTGATGCACACTCAAAGCACACCTTGCATGTGTTCTCAAAAAGGGTTGTTGTCACGTGAATCAAACCAGTAATTGTACATCTCAGAGTATGGATTGAATTAAGCGAACTTCTCATTTGTTGTGATGATGTTCCTTCGTGCATTTATTGATGACCAGCGAGTCGCCACACTTGAGAACCCAGAATAATCGCTGCTTGCACCAATCAGTCAATCCCGCTCATTGGCATTCTCCAATATGGAACGTTTTCAACGTGTCTGTAATTATCTTCCCAGCACACCGTTGCTTGAATAACTCGCCTTAATCCCGACTGGTACTATGTTAAAAAAGCCTATAATCACGTTTAATTCGTATTTTGATCACCACTTTGAACGTCGTCAAAACATTCCATGACTGTGACAGTATAAACACATTCTTGCGGAGGGAGCTGGTAGGAACGTTGGGTTGCTCGGTCAATGTCCAGGGTCAACGGCGGCGTGGTGTATTCAGCAAATATGGCCGACTTTGAGGGCGGGCACAAGCCGGCGTGAGTAGGTTACACGTTGAGTTTTATAAGGGCACCACGGGGTGACCAGCCCCTCCCCACCCAGCCCCACCCCTCCCACCCCCCACCCAGCCCCACCCTCCCCACCCAGCCGCTCCCCACTCTCCCCACCCAGCCCCTCCCCACCCTTCCCTCTCCACCCAGCCCCACCCCTCCCATTTTTGGATACACGACGGACGGACACAATAATCCCCTGTGGGCTGGTGGAACCAGGTGGTTCCTACCAGTACTAGTTTTCTGAATCCGCAAGCAAACCCCGATAACTGACGTGGCTTCCAATGTTGTATGCCATGTTGCAAAATCACTCCTACAGTTGTGTCCTTATTCTGATTCTCACATAACCTTCCCTCGCACGTGGTGGATAGTCATTTTACGTTAGCGTATTTTGCCGCTTGCTGCAGATGTTCACGGTTCGAATCTGACAGGCGACCCTGGGAAACATCGTGGTGTATTAACCAAAACAACGCATCCCATCTGATTCACGCTGGACGTTGAAGAGCGTGTGACGTCATGAGGAAAGAGTAGGTCATGGTCAAAAATTTGCCAAACAATTCGACAAGTTACTCGGTTGTGATTACAAAAAAACAATCATCGACCCCTTTCTGGCAGGCTAATGCCACATGCAGGCCGCTGTCCAGGGAAAGCTACCACTGGTCGCGCCGTTGACATATCCAAGGAGAGATGCGATGTTGAGGAGCATCGAGTTTGCCGAAGTATGTAAGTGCAAAGGTGATGATTTGTGTTGTTGCTAGACTCGTGGGCGGTATGAAGTGAAGTGTGTTTTGAATGCGTTCGCTGCAATGTTGCCTCAAGACGTTACATTGATTTGATGTTTTGTAGATTTTTTTAAAACTGATTGGCCGACACCCGAGACAGCCTTCTTGTATGGCCTTCTCTCGCCAGTGTTAGCAAAAGGTATCTACGTGGTGTTTGAACATCTTAACACCCGCTTTATTGCTGGAAAGGACAGGAATTTGTTATGATGTACTGCCAGAAAAAAAGGCTCCCATAGATACGAACAACCAATTTCCCCTCAAGTGTTACCTATTGTATCAAACCCGGACACGTGATGCTGAGCTAAGTCAGCACCCAATCAGACTTCATTCAACTCATTACGAGCCACTCCCTCCATAGTGAAACCACCTGGCTGCCTTCATCAGCAGTTCATGCCCTGATATGAATAACATCCGGTTTTGTGTTTTTAACGCAAAGGTCAAGTAGCCCTTGAGTACTGGGTGGGATGTACACTCCGCGCTTGGGAGACAAAGGCCGTGGGGCGTGATGCTTGCGTCCTGTGTGCCGTTGAAAGGTTCTTCGTCTTTTGGGCTCTGGTAATAATATATATTTTCATGTTTGTCGTCGTTTTTTAGGTTATATTTTCAAAAAATAATTACAGCCATTTTTTCGTACATTTCTCCGATTGTTTAAAGCATGCGTAGAAGCTCATTATTTAGTAATTTGAGCAAATACACAAACCTTGACTCGCATTTGCAAAAAATGCTAAACATTACAAGTAATTATGCTATACACTATTGAGGGAAAATGCAGCGAATGAGTCGGTAAGATTATGTTTTGCAACACCAACTTTATTAGAATATTCGAACGTGTTTGTCATATTATAGAATGCAGACTATCATAAGCATTGAAAAGAAAATTACTCCAGCCACGAGCATTAACACAATACAGCATTTACATTCTTATATAACTCTGTATCACGTAATATAGTGAATACGTGGAAACATTGTCACGCCTTTGCAATTAATGTTAAGACTTCCATGCATAAGCACAGGGATAACACAGGAAAATGAATGTGCCATTAATAATAGAGGAGGATAATGTAATTTATGAATCATTCAAATTCTGTTGTTCCATGTCTTATGCTACTTTATCGGATTACTCCTAGATGATTACGTGTTATACAATTTATACACTGCATACATACTATCTTTGATAATACATTCATGTTTAATTCCAATTGATTATATTGATATTAAGATTCTAGGTAATGGAGTATAGTTACTACGGAGACATGCAATGCCGTGCATTTACGATTAATTGCAATAACTTCACGCAGCGACATACAAGTAGGGCAGACATGCGGCGCTTTCATGAATTAAAGTTGTTCATTTGTTTCGATTTAAAGCTTTCGTGACTGCAGGGATTCATCTTCTTGGTTTTTTCGGTAAAGTCACGTAGAAGGGAAGTAATAAAATAATAAAAATAAAACATAATAAAACAATTCTCACGACGTTTCGGCCACAACGCAAGCAGCCGTCCTCAGGTGAAGACCAGGTCTGTCGGGGAGACGCTGATTGCGTTGTGGCCGAAACGTCGTGAGAATTATTTTATTATGTTTTATTTTCATTATTTTATTATTTCTTGTTCATTTGTTTCGGATAACGTTTCTTAATTATCAGCCTGCCTGGTGGTACGTTGCCCATGAAGATATTCCGAAGAAATGCATCCATTGTGTATTCACAACGGTGATTATTCGTCATCACTTTTGGTCCTGGCTTCGTTTATTTCGAGAGAAGCATACATCCCCGACAACCACACATTGCAGTGTTTACGTATTGTCAGCAGCACACTCCTAATGAGAAGACATTGTCCGTAGGTCGCTATGCTATCCTGGGATCCGTGTTGAACACCGACGCGGAGTTTTGGCGGAGAAAAAATGATGCTCATTAAAAATAATTTGAGAGAATAATATTACAACGTGGAATTGAAATAAAATGTTTTGCACCCAGAGATCGTGCATTTTCATTTGCGCGTATCCAGCTTGCGCGCTGTGTGACTGCGGAGGTGGGTCTATTACAAAAAAGTCGGATATGTTAAGGCCTGTAGAATACGATGGTTACAACACGCACAAAAACGAAACTGTTTATCCATAATATAGGTGCTTTTCTTGTTATATCGTGTAAATATAAATGCGTCGTTAAACCCGCCACGACCCGACACAGCCAATGAGTAAGGTTTGTCACGTAAACAGAACATGCAAATTCGTTACTGGTACAGCACACCGGTGTGTTGGAGCGTACATTCACAACTTTTACAATCTGAGTACGACGTTTCGCCAGTAATTACAGCAAGCGTTATCTGGCGGCAGCCAGATTTGTGGAGAAATCCTCCTGTTTATGCGATCTAACCCAAAAACCCTAGAAATTATGGATGATATTGGTCACGAAAGCTCACATGTTAAACTTATGAAACTGTTTGTTGGCAGTTCAGTGATGAGGGCGGATATGTGACCTGCTATAAGTCAAAACAATCGGTTGAAGAAATCTGAGATTATTTGCAAGCATACATGTGATATTTTATAGCACACTAATTTTCAGGAATTATTTTTACTTATGCAAAACGGAAAAAAACAGTTAATCACGAATTCATGAAATTACCTTGCCCGTAAAAAGTAGCTATCACAATTATTTCAATGTAATATTTGGCTATTAACTTCAGCCACAATCGGAGGAAGTGGGAATATTTCTGGATGTATAGCATCCACTGAAATGCAAAGCCTTTCTATGGCAGTTTAGCAATGAGCAATTCCTAAACTAAAGTTCATCCTCTTTAGGGCAATGTGTTTGACAAATGTGTTTCTTTTTTTGTTATTTTGTACTTGCACATCATTGCAGGTCCCTCGATTTACAAAAGGGATGCCGTTCTTAAAAAAAAAAACTAAAACATGCGGAAAACGAAATTGCGTAAGTTTAATGATTTTCCCACTTCCATTTATTTCTAAAAGTTTGGGATGCGTTACGGACAGTCACTCCAACTCTACTCTTTACCTAACAAATACACACCTATATCACTTGTCACAACACAGAAAAACTACAATAGAGAACATAAATAAAAAAAAATTATATTAAAGTTAAAGCTAAAAAAAGAATTAACCTTATCGGGGAACTCATAAAAAGATCCGCATGTTGGAATGACTGGAAAGTTAAGGTGCTGTCGAGATACTGAGACGCTGTAGCGGATGGATGACTCAGCAGCCTCACGGCTTGTTCTCGTTTGGTCTCGTGATGCACGCAGTGTGAAATTTGTCCACGCGGAAATTCGATTTCGTGAATCGAAAAGTGTCCGTAATTTGTACAATTTGCGTGAGCGCCAAATTTCGTGAACCGAACGTTCTTAAATCGAGCGACTTGCCGTTTCTTATTCCGCTATCGTTAAATGAACAACGGGGGAAATTGAGTCAATTGTTGGCCTCCCCAATGCGTCTATTGGTACAGAACACCCTTAGCAGTGTCTCTCTTAACTCGCGAGCACGTAAGCCATACACAATGGGACTCAGCCCTTGAGCGACGCCAAACACCACGGTTTGAAACAGCATGAGGTTCTGCACCACGGGACTGGTCATAATCAAGAACGCGTTTTCGATATAGTACAGAAACATCGGCATCACGAAAAAAGAAATCTGCACCAAGTGGTACATGACGGTTTTGCGAGCGCGCTTGTTCGCCATGTCTAAGTTCCCGCTGCGCTTTCCTTCTAAATAGATGCAGCAGTAGCAACCGAAATTGATGAGGATAGCCATCACGATGGGACCTAAAATGAGAGCCGTTACCAGATCTCCCATTGCCCCAGGGGGGTCCATTACATCCAACGAGCAAACGACCGGCGAATTAAGTTCCGATGAATTTTTCTGCAGTAGATTGTTCATCATTCGAAGTCCAGGCCATACGATGGATAAACCAACCACGCCGACGATGATTTTCCAATACTTCTCGGTCGAGCAGATTTCATTGTACCTCAGCGACCAGCAAATAGCCACGTATCTGTCCACCGACATCGCCAACACGCTGAAGAGTTCGTTGTTTAGGGTGGAGAAGAGAATCAGGAAGTAGACGGCGCACATTGCCCGGGACAGCTGATACTGGCACAGGAGCAGTATGTAGAAAACGACCTGGATGGAATTGAAAATCACTTGGCTGATGATGAGGCTCGTGAGCAGAAAAAAACGAAGCTTTTGTCTCAGAGAGCGGCTCTTGAGCATGAGGTACAAGACTAAGCTTGCAAATGCCACCGACAGTAGCCACATGGTTGAGTGCATGGCTACCTTCTTAATGTTAAAAGACTGGCTGATGCTAGTGTCAGATGCAGATGTGAAAGACGTATTCTTGAAAGAAGCGTTGTATACAAATGCACCTTCTTCCATTGTAGATCGTCTGTGAATGGTGGCTTTCACATATTTGTTTTCCATTCTTGTGCCTGGAACATAAATCGGTTATTAATAGGCATCAATTTTGCAACACTTGAACAAGCGACACAATTTGCAGTTTCATAAATGTCACGAGGTATCATGAATACCAAGCTGGTGATTACATTATAGATAATAATTTGCAATTATTTGTTAATGCACTGCCAGGTTGAAAACTTTACCACACCATGTCGGACATAGCAGTTGGTGGACCATACTTCACCATGCTGGTCAATGTGAACTGGTAAAGGGAAGGGGCTGAACGGAGGTTCTCTGATAACGCGTGTTTTCAAAACCTCGATTTCTATATAACGCTATTAATGTACGAGGGAAGACATTTTTACAACGCGGAGGCAAATTGTAACAACGCGGTTGAGTGAACAGATCTTCTTCGTGCGAATTGGAATAAGCAGATGTTTGGCTGCCTCTGCGTAGCATCACACATGGTGGGTGCTGCTGGATGCTTCTGGATGCTACCCACGTGCATCAAGTTTTTGTTCAGTCTGCGTACGCATCTCACGTGTTATCGCGGACTGAGATTTACCCCTATTTAAGTTATTATAACGCGATGTTTCCATAACGCGGTGTTCTTCGGGAAAGCAACTACCATATTTTTTTTTCTATCTACGTGGCTTTACCGAAAGACCCAAATAATAACTACCATATTATATTATAACACGTATAACCTACAACTCTAATTGAACTCGGGCCGATGGATAAACGCAGTGCCTCTAGTTTGTATAACAATTACTATTTTTTTAATGATAATTGGTTCTTTACCCTTCTATCTGGCAACAAAACTGACACCTTTTTACGAGGAGTCATGTTTGCAAAGACCGCAATACCTGCAGTCATAATACTGCAGGTATTGCAGCTTTCACTGTCTCGGGTGTGGACCAATCAACTTCAAGGACAGTGCACATTATCAGAGTTATGTTCTTTTGTTTGTATTATGACTGCAGGTATTGCGGTCTTTGCAAACATGACTCCTCGTAAAAAGGTGTCAGTTTTGTTGCCAGATAGAAGGGTAAAGAACCAATTATCATATTTTTACTGGCAAATGAGGTTTCCATAGTATTTTTTTATTGTTACGTACGAATTTCTCTTACCTGATATGAATATGATCAACACTTGATGTACTCGAGTAACAAGTTGGAACGTCCGCTACTGTCGTATTGTGCGTGTGATTGAGTCAAGGGCTGGCCAAGTAAATTGTGAGGTGCTTCGTTTAATCAAAACAATCCCCAAAGATGTCGCAGGAGCCAATGTTCACGATTGTGTGGACCGGGTCAGTTTTATGCATTCTCTAATGATCTCCCATGATATTTAGCAGCCTGAGCAATTAGCAATGTGTCACCAAGTTCCCATGGGATCGAGCCTTACTTGCATCTTTTTTGCAATGTAACAGGCTAAACGTGTGGCAGTGTTGTTGTTTTTTTTGCAAATGGAACAACCTAGAATCGTGAGCCTAATTAGAGTGTGAAATGAGTAGGGCTCTTGATACAGACATATGTATGTTGGTATACACTCGTGGCATTAAAAATCATGACAATTATAAAGCAATCGTACAATGTAACACTTCAAATGAAGAATGCATGGATTTATATGTACAGTAATTGCAACATGGGCACATTTAATGTAATTACAACATGGAAGCATCAACTATGTTTATTATATCCCTGCGTATGATGAAAATGTGGTCAGGACCTAAATGCCAATTTGTCGAGGTCTGCTCGCCACGAGAGGGCTTCATGAGAGAATTCGTTTAGTTTTGCTGTCACAGTGATTTGCAATGTTGGCCATAGTTTTGTCACTTGCACTGCAGGCTTGTCTTTCAATCTTCTGTTTATGACGAAGAGCTTGCCGAGAATGAATGGCAGGCGTGTTGAGAGCGGTGGCAATGCGGTGAAAATGTCGCGGGTTTCCACAAGAGGGCAGTGTTGCAGTTGTTTTAAAGCTCTGTTTTGTTGAGCAAAATACATGCGAAGGAAGAATGGGCGGGCCACGGAGTTGGATACCGAGAGAAGGCAAAAGAAGCAACGCCAGCAGAGAAGATGGCAGGGATATGACGTAAAACAAACATTGAAAGCCACTATAGGCACCAAAGCAACTAAGGAAATTAAAAGGTCTTTGTCCAAGCAGTGAGAATTTAACAAACTTTTTTCCTTAACCAGGCACTGCGTTTTATAGCTCTTTTTTCAGAAGCGACCTGGTTACAAATGACAGCTCAACGAAGTGGAGTGTCACGTGGGCGTTTATAGCAGCAGCCAAATACTCTAAACGCGCGTTTCTAAATGTGGAGGGAAACACCCGAGGAACCGGAAAGAAATCCACGCGGACCACGGGGAGAGAGATAGAGACACAACACTCCAAATATACAGGGGTCACGGTCTGGATCTAAACCACGACCATCCTGTATGCCAGGCGAGGTAGTTAACATCTCGCCACCACGGCAGACAGAAGCATTCATTAAATTCGGTACTCTAAAGGCCACACAGTGATAATGGATAGTACAACTACAGGGAGATTCATAGATAGCTCACGATTGGAAGATTTTAGGTGCAGTGCTGGTTTGACTTGAGCCATCATTCATTTGTTATCAATAAAATGTGTGCCTCTTCATGGATGGGGGAATGCTGCTATAGTGGAATGTGTGAGTCCCACTGGAAATGCAGTTGAAACAATGGTGTACATTTTTGCAATCACCCCACATCTGCCTCCCCCCTCCCTCAACAGTCTAACTGAGTTCACCACAGTTGGTCAATCAGCAGGTAACCTATGGGTGGGGTAAAGTGTGGGTAAGTCCCACCTCATCCAAGACGTTTGGCAAGCGTGGAAGATTCGACCAAATAGCCTCTGGAGGAGCGCTCTAGCTTCCTTAAGTGAAAATCCTTGAGCCAGTGGTCAATCAGTGAAGTGGGTTTACCCCTCATGTGGGAATGTGGAGTTTCCACCCTCGGCAGCTCAGAGCTGGCAAGGGAGCTGGGCATTCGCTCACTGCTCTTTTGGCAACAGAGACACTGAGTTGGAGTAATTGGTGGACTGTTCCCGCACCTCCGATTAGCAGGGTTGGCTATGTACATTGCGAAAGAAGTTCAACGCACCTATATACACAACAGGCAGCAAAGTCGCACGGTTTGATGCGATGAAATTTAAGATATAATTACTGTTTATACGTGAAACGTCAAAGTACAATTGCGCCTCTAAATACTGTTCAAAATTGGTGTGACATGCACATTGTATACAGTGTATGTTTTATATACCAGGGAAGAGATGGTCATAGGGGTAAGGTGTTGTGCCTGGACTTGAACACGTCTGGAGGCAGCGAGTTCCATATTGTAGGGGCAGCAGAGGAGAAGGAGCGACCTCCCCACCCAAAATGAGTCGAGATTTGGAATTTCGTTCGGCGTTTTGCTGCTTGATTAGAGAGAATAGGAACGGAAGCCACGATGGAGATCGAGGGCGTGGAGGGGAGTAGAGGGAGATGAGAGGGGAGCGGTATGGTTGGACGGGATCATGGTAAATCTTAGTGAGGGCAACCTTGAAGTTGATGCGAGATTGGATCGGGAGCCAACACCAGATATGAAGTATTTGAGGTGATCTGCCACCATGTGTTGATGAGCCCTGGTTAAGTCAAGACCAGTCCAAGTTTCTTCTTGGTTCTTTCGGTAAAGTCACGTAGAAGGGAAGTAATAAAATTATAAAAATAAAACATAATAAAACAATTCTCACGACGTTTCGGCCAGAACGCAAGCAGCCGTCCTCAGGTGAAGACCAGGTCTGTCGAGGAGACAGCGTCTACGTGACTTTACCGAAAGAACCAAGAAGATAAATCCCTGCAGTCACGAAAGCTTTAAATCAAAATTTACAGTCCAAGCTTTTTGTTTGAACTATGTTTTTGTTAATTTGGGGGGAAAAAATATCTACAATTTCCACAGCTGGATTGAATGTTATCAACCTACTCGTGTCTAGTGCTTAATGTTATTCACTTTGAATAAAAACCCCACCCACGTCTCCCCCTCCCCCCCCCATCACGCTGTACGCACACTCCAGGTAAAACTGTGAATATCACCTTGACGACAGTTACATCCCCATGGTTTTAAGGGAGTGGCGATATGCTTCAGTCATCGGACATGGCCTGATTAGGGTGTCTCGGTTGCATTTCCCGCACAGCTCTTGCACATCAGAGCCATTCAACATTCACGGGTATAAACATTGTCACATGTTCTGCTTGGTTGATATTAAAAAAAAATTTAACGTCACGATTTCCTTCCATGTGATGTATCGGGTCTGCAGTTAACTTGCTTTGTTTGAATAAGTGCGGTTTATCCTCATGAGAGTTATTTGGAAAATTGCTGTGACACGTCGAAATGCGTGCGGGTTTGTCATTCCAAAAACAACAACAACCGTACCCTATTCACGAATAGAATAAACACGTTCGGGTCCATTATCATTTTTCACATGCATGTAGGACGCGGAGTATGTTTGAAGTTAAATTAAGCTATACACGATGTAGTCCATGCAATTTACACACATTTACATTCAGAAAAAGATGGTTAACAGTGGAAAAAAAACAATGTTGTACAAATGCGTGCCATGGAAAATAAAAACAAATCTCTTTTGCAAAACAGTAAATTACTCAAATTGTACGATTCAATGTTTAATGCAATAAGCTGGTCTTATTTTATGTTTAATAATTGGCTACCACAAGTATTCCCCTGGTTCACATGTATATTGTCAAAATATAAAAAAATCATCTAAAGTACTCTCCAAATATGAATGTATATTTTTACAAAGCATTCATTTTTTAAAATCATAAATTACTTATTCCACGAGCCACACTTATTCCTCTTTGGCAACGAATTGCGAGAAATTTCCAGATGTTGTCTTGTCTCTGTTTTTGCTAGCAATATAAACCCCCATGCCCTATTAAATCTTAAGCATCCTTGCACATTGATACATGTCTTCACGACATATTAAGTTTGTGGACAATCTAATGTTAACGTGTAAAATACAATACACATAGTACGGCCAAGATTGCTGCAAACAAAATATAATATTTGGCGATATAAACGCGCAAAAAGCATTTAGACACACGTGCTAAATACATCTTTCTAGCGGTCGATATGTTCGCACCTTCTAACGGATACAGCAGTCTCAAGGCACTCATTTTCGACGCGTAGATGATAATAATCATAGCAGCGTCAAACTCCGAATAAGTCGAAACATCACTCCCGTATTTCGGAAAACAGACCTCATTAGGCAAAGCTGAAACACGCATTGGATAAAGCTGCGTCGGGCAAGGTTTTCCTGTATAAAAAAAAACAGAACAAGCTCATTCTCATATAACTGTATGCATATATCCCGTCTATATCTGCTTTGTCATCTGACTAGCGTTTTGTCAATTCAATGGGGGTTTCCAAAACCAAATCTCTGCTGAGGGGGCTTGCACAAATACCTTAACGAATTGTGCAATTCGATATTAATATCTTACCACTCTCACACACCGATGTGGATTAATTCGAGATTAAATGGGCCCATACTGAGCTGCATTAATTATTGGTTTCATGCGAACGCGCCAATACACAATCGTTGGTAAATCAGATGACACGATTTTTCTGACGTGCTGGGTTTTTTTTCCCCCAAAGAACCTTGACGCAGTTTGAAGTTAAACGTCGCATCTAATCGCAGAGTTTGGTTACGAATTTTCTTCTTGACCTCAGCGGTGAGTAAGTAATAACATTTGTAATTATTGCGCACTCTTACGAGTCCAGTCCGTAGCACATTGAAGCTGGGATGTTGGCTATCAACAACAAGGCAACTCCTATGACTAATTGGGAATGGGACGCAAGCGTAGGATTGATCACCCTGTCGCTGGCCGCCTTTGGGGAGGGTGTATAGTATGAAAGGCCGAAACACCCTAGGACCCAAAGGTTCACTACTGACGATGCGCTCCCCAAATGTCACCAGGCTCACTGTTCATGAACTCTTGGAAGTGCTTGCACAAAGCATAGTAACATCTCATCCTGTGTTCTTTGGAATTTGAGCACTCTTACGAATCCAGTCCGTCACACATTGAAGCTGGCTCTCTGAAACAACAACAACAACAACAATAACAACAACAAACACTGTTTTAGAGTCTGTTGCGAAACTGGCTCCGACTCAGGGATGGATGCCGAACACGAG